CAAATGTTTATCCTCCAAAACTAGCTGGGGGCACAGGTCTCTGCTACTGTTATTTTGTGGGTCACAAAGTTGGTCTTGGGACCCAATTATGGGTCATGAAGCACCTTGGATAATCTCCAGAAATCAATTTAAAGGTAATAAAATAATTGCTGATGCAATATTTTCCCTGTAATTTTTTACAAAAACACAAAATAAGTAAAAATAAGTATTTATATTTGTGTACAAGCTGTTTAGATTGTCAAAAAGCCTGTGTTTTAGGGTTATTAACAAAGTTTGTGTACTCAGACCAGTAATATTTGGGGTCACAAGTTTTTGCCACAAATACTTTGTGGGTCAGAAGACAAAAAGTTTGAGAACTGCTATAATCAATGGTATGCCATTCTATCATATAATTAAATCTGTATGGCAGGATGTATCATATAATCAACGATGTATGGAATGCTATTGTATCATAAGTAAATCTGTAAACCAGGACACTGTATCATATAACTAATATTTTGTGGCATGCCATTTTATCATATAATCAACATGTATGGCAAGCGGTTGTGTTGTATAATAAAAAAAATGTGGCAAGCTATTGTAGCACGCAGTTAAATCTATATGGCAGGCCATTATATCATAGTCAAAGAGGTATGGTCAGAAGTTTAAAACCGAAAATCTGAAACTGAATAAAAAATCTAAAATCTGACAAGTATGATTTATTTCTATTTTAAAAACACTTTTTTTAAACCAAACTTTATGACCCTAATCTAGCTCCACAGAGATTCTTCAACTCTGGCAACAGATTTTAAAGGGATAGTTCAGATCTTTTCATATGGAAAAGGTTATAAACAATAACTATTTTACCTGTTGTAGATAACTCATCCAACAAACTTAATTTGGAAAATTGGAAAACAGCTCAGATCTAAAATCATTTTATCACAGCTCATGTGAAAAGCTGTTTTATAAACATTTACACCACCATAGGTTTTAAAATACAGATTTATTCTGACGGAAATATTAAAAAAATTCTGTCTGAAGTGCTACAGCTGCTTCTGCTCTTATTTGCACTTTCAAATAATCATAGATTCATGATCATGTAATACCACATAAAACAGTATTCATCTAAACTCTTAAGTACTTTTTTGGTCTACATATTTAGAAGGCGTTAATTCATTTTGGTCTTTAAATTAAGCTACAACTAGGATTTCTATCTGATAAAAGAAAAAAATGACGATGAGGACAAAACCCTGTCATTAGAAGAATACGGAGCCCGCGAGGAGACATGGGTTTTTTTTTCTTTTGCGTTCCCACGCAATAGTATTGCTTTACCTCGCAATATCTTTTGCGTTCCCTCGCAAAAGTCGTTTATCACTGTTATGCCTGCCGGTTTATTAACAAACTCACATGTTCACCGCGAGTTAGCCTACTGCTTTAATTCAGCTTCAGAATGAATATATCACACAACCACACAAGGAAATATATGTCGATATTTTAACACAGTGCAGCCACGCAACATCAATGTCAGTTTCACGAACTTGTGGCGACACATCCTGTTTTGGTAACCTAATATTTCAAAATAAAAGTCTGATTTAATTCAATTCATATACAAAATAATCTTTTGCGTGGGAAAGCAAAACAATTATGCGAGGTAACACAAAGATATTGCGAGGTAACGCAAAAGAAAAAAAATCTCCCCGTGTCCCCTCGCGGGCTCCACAGCAGACAACAAGAGTACGAACAAAAAAAGTTGCTCTGTCTGCCATTTTCTTTTTATTTTTAAACAATTAAGTTTTGTTTTGTTGTTCTGATTCTTTAAGCAGTAAGAAAAGTCACAAGTGAAGTGGTTCCGCTAATCAGCTCCGCGTGTGTCCGAATTCAGGGGATTAGCTTTTTGCGCTAACTCTGAAAACCGTTAGCGAACCAATTAGCTTCCACTAAATTAAGTTTTACCAACTTTAAGTTTACTAACAGCTAACTAACAAGCTAACATTGACTGGTTTGTGTCAGTCCCACCAGTTTTCAGCTGGTAAAAGACAAGTGTGACACAGATGAGTGACAGTCATCTTCGACATTATGACATTTTTTATGTTTAGCAGTTTAGTGTTAGCAAAGCTACATTTCTAGTTAGCGGATTAAGAGTTATTAAATCTAGCTTTTTGTTTAGCTGCACTGAAGCTAACGTGAGCATTTCTGGTTCTTTAAACTCTGAAACTTACGTGTTTTCTTCACTGTGGCTGACTCTTTCCTGTGTTTGAGCTCAGTAGGGAACTGAAGTGCACACAGACCTACACTGATAACTTTATCTGAAAGCATTTTGTGTTTTAAAGCACCGCCCGTTGRTTTGGAACAGTTTCTGTGTTGAGAACGTTCCCCTCGTGGCCTTTTGTCCACACATTTTTAACCTCGGTATGTCTGGGTCATGTGAGCCGGATCCTGACCTTATGTGTGTGTTTTGGCACAGCATCATTCTGCTGTATTCATGTGTGTAATTGTGTGTTCGATGAGTCACTGTTCCCCTGACAGAGATAACGTGGCTCGGGCTGTCTGCCTACTAACCAGATTTGGAGGCTGACTGAGATGCGTGGAGCTGTAGGGCGAGAGGTCACGCTGAGGAACGAACCCATGGGCACAGAGCTGAAGGTTTTTTGTTGCTGCTGGTAACAACAGACCGATGGCAGCTGTTTATTCCAKTGGGCCCTCAGACGTTTCATCTCACTTGTTCAGGAAGCACAGCCAAGATATGGTGTCGCTCAGGAAACCTGGTGTAACGATAAAAGACAGAGCCTCACATCGAATCCATCAACAACWGTTTTATTTGCTTTATTATTTGGGATATAAATGAGTTATTTTTGTTTTTTTAAGCAGTTGATGTTTGGCAAATAGCAGATTTCAGTTTACATATTCTAAACGATGTAGATAAAGAAGACAAACAACAAACCAACATGGTGGTGCTTAAACAATGAATTAATTTGAATGGCTAGATGGATTAAAAAAAATATATATATAAACATTTTGATCCTGATTTCTGGACTGTTGGTGTAGCAATATAAAAATAAAAGTAAATATTTCCTTATTTGGCTATTTACTGTGTTATAAAATGAACAGTTTCCAGAAACACCATGAATACTGATAAYATTTGCTGTCAGTTATGGCAAACCCGTGTATCATAAAATGCATACAATTTGTTCACATCTTCAAAACCATGGAATATTAACAGTTTAAACCAACTTTTACTGATTTTTTTAGGTYTTTATTTCTATTGATTTGGGAAAACACACAGTTAACTCGTGAAAATAGAAAATCTGAAAACTTGAGYTAAAGAACCCTCTGTTACGTAAATYAAAYGAACATGTGAAACACATTTTACTCRTTTCCTGTGGTTTGGGGAACATTTTCAACATGTTTGGTCGAATGAAGTCACATGACTTTCTACATGCAGTGAAATATAGAAAAATAATATATCCTGGTAAATTCAAATGGTTTTCCTTTAAGGACAGACAACATWCTTGTTCAAAGATGAGAAAAGATGAGCATGAATTTAACCTGGTTTGAATATTTGTAAAAAAAATAAAATCTTTTAATTTCAGGATGAAAACAGAGATTATTTTTCTGTAACAGAGTCGTGGCGCCCCGCTGAACATGAATTAGTCTTTGTGGGTTCAGATTAAACTGGATGGTAAATAAGAGGGACAAATGTAATTCTGTGTTCTACGGTAATGGACCAAATCAAATGTGCAATTAGAACCAGATGGCCTTTCAAGAAGTGGCTCTAACACACACACACACACACACACACACACACACACACAC